AATTCTATATTAACAACCTACGCATAATGCGAATGCAAATCGAATTGTCAAGTTTTATCTGCTAGGGTTGTGAAAGTGTTTGGCTGAGTAGATCACATCTCAATTTGACCTTTCCAGGCTCTGAAGAAGGCGAAACCGCCGAAACGTCAGCAATTGTGTTCTAATAAATTCTATATTAACAACCTCGTGTCTGCTTATTGATGAAAAACATTGAATTATCAATTAATGCTGAGGTTAACAGAAAGTCGGTCATGGGCATCATAATGATGCTGAGATATTTGCAAAGCTCATACTCCAACTCATATTCGAACCTGTGGCAATCCTCTCAGTGGGTTACCCTGCACATCATTCCTGTCAATGGGTAATTGCTGATGGTATCGTTAGGCTAAAAAGCTGGCTGAATGAAAGTAAAAGCAAGGGCCTCGGTGGTGCAGTGGTTGACATCTGAGCTCTGAAAAGTGTAATCGCGGGTTCGACTCTGGGCTGTCTGGGTATTTCACATGATAACCTGTTATTGAAAAACAGTAGGCAAGAAATAAACAGTTCCACATTGTAAAGAAGAATACCACCATAGTTTTAAGAGTTGTTGGAACAATAAGTGAAAAGTTGCTAATATAGCACAGAATGACGGTAAAGTAACGCTTACACGGACGCTGTAACGCCTTGCCTACTTAAAAATTTGTATTTGCTTAAACAAAATTCTCTTTTGACTGCTAAATTACTTACTCAGCAAAGTGTTTTTACTTAAGGGTTTCAGATAACTTGTGAAAATGTTCTCAGGTAGTTATTACGGACACTGCTGATCGAATGACAGAATTAGGGCACTTTGCTATCAAAAGTTAAAAAACATCTATTTCATTGGATTTTATGCTTACTGAGAACTTTATGGTTAAGTGTGTCTCATGATGGGATACACATCCAAGAGTTTGTTACAGGGAGAAAAGTGACTTTCATATTAAATATGGTTTATTTTCTATTGTCGAATACGCAAAACCCACTGGGCTACTCTGGTACGCGACAGGGAAAAATGGAGGATTTACTGGCGCCCGCTCGAGTCACTCGAAGATCAACGAGACTGCAGATGATACAGGTGATTTTCTGTTCTAGCAAATGTTATATATGCAATCTATTAAAAGTCTTTTTTAAACCAGATATGACTCGAGTAATGACAAATTTCAGTGAAGTTTCTTCAGTGAGAAAGCGATTGGATATTTTTCAAATGAGCACTTATTCAATGCATGGTTCATTAGTCGTCATCAGTTGATAAGTTGAAAGTGAAAAGATTTTGACACACTGTTCCAAGAAACCACGCTTATCACTAGTAGTTATGTTGCTCCTCCCAGCGGTTTACCCATCGTGGCTGGAAGATGTTCCATCGAGTATGATGTAAATCGGGACGCTCCCTCACTCTCATAACGGTGTCCCATACTGAGATGTTCGACTTTTCCATCCGAAAGCCCAGCTAAGAGTAAACCAATGCCAATACCACCATTGTATGGTATCAAACTAGTCGCAAAGTGCCAAATCTCCTCCTAATCCACATGGGGTGCGACTGCTTGGGATGGTGAGGACCTGAGTGCGGCTTCGTCTAGGCCGGCCTGGAGACTGTATGATATGATCCTCCAGGCGTTGCGCAAAGCTGATATGCTGACTACACGTGGTGATACTGTTCTTATTAATAACACAACCAAGATGGACACAATTGTAAGCCATCACTAAGAGACTGTAAATCGTTTCTAAGATCGGAACAATAGAGAAACAAATAATTTTATAGAAACTAATTATACCTTCAGTTAGATTGGAAGAAGTCTCCTTAATAAGTTTCCCTAGTTCACCGTTTTTTGAGTGCTCTAGCTATTGAGAAATCATTGGCAATTTTTGAAAAATCACAACAGTCGCGTATCAAACAGCAATGACAACTAGAGGTGAAAGAAGTTCTTAACGGAGAATAAGGGCGCGTGTACCGCAGTGGTTAGAGTTGCCCTGCAATACACGTGGGATCGATTCTGTGCACCAGGTTAACCAAGTCTTCCATCCCTCCGGAACCGACAAGTTGGCACCAGGCCTGTCTGGGAGGATAGCAGCACTGATTCGATAAATCGGTACAGCGCCATGAGTTATTGTCAAGGCCAGGTATGCATGCAATCACCTCCAACTTAATGAAACCGAGTGCATGGCGCATCCCTCATGGAATGATCAGCACCGAGAGCTCTTTTTGTAATGCAGTGATCAGAGGAGCCTTGAAATGGACGCTGAATCGGTCGCTGGCTCGATTTCGCGTCTCAGGCTCACCAATTCTTCCATCCCTTCGAGACTGGAAAATCAGCCCCCTGGAAGGATAAGGACACTCACTTGGTAATCGACTAGCCACTCACTGTTTTTTTTTACGACGTTTGATGAAGTCGAATGCATAAGAGATTCCTCACAGACTGATTAACACTGACTGATTTACCTTTATCTTTCGATCTGCACAGAATATGACCTAATAATCAATAGCTACTCGTTTTGTTTCCAGGCAGGCCAGATAGCAGGGGAAATCAGCGCAACTTCGGTGTGTTTACTGGCCACAATGACGTCATCACTAGGTGAGTGTGTAGTGTGCGTTTTTCTCTGAGATTTCAAACTACACCGTAGCTTTAACATACCACTTCGAGCTACCGAAATCGAGGAAATTTTACGCTTAAATAATGTGTATCCGTAGTTAAGCAATGAAATAAAAAATATCATAAAGATCATCGTTTTGATTCTTTTAAATTTTGTCGAACAAATGATTTCTAGAGTCCAAAAAATGAAAACCTCACAAAAGAAACCAGCTTATGAATGA